AATTTATATTTTTTCTGAATGATCTATATTGATTGTAAGAGATTCCTACCGAGAAGTAGTTTTCAATGCATATGATTAAATATAATACTTTATGAAAATCAACACATATTTATTACAGATTACAAATAACTAATTTAAGTAATTTTTTTTAATAACCTCAAGTTAGTTATAGCTTTTATTGATATTGTAAGAACCTTGTTATTATCACATGACTGATGCTTGACTTATTGGATATGAAATTATTGCACATGGCTCCTCTCGAAAGTCCAGTTCATCAAATTTTAAGAAATTACATCGCTAAGTGTGGAGAGGAGCACAGGAACTTTAATTAATATTCTTGATATTCTCTATATATATGTGATGACTATTAATTTTTTTAATAATCTTACGACTAATTTTCAGTATGTGACTAATTTTTTTTAATCATATGAACGGCACAATAATTTCATAAATTTATGGTTTTCTTATGTGTAAATAACTTATTATTCTGATCCTTAAACAAATATTCTCCCTAAAAGCTTTTCAGGTCGTTTAAAATCGCCACCAACATTAAAAAAATGCAGGAGATGCATTGGCCTTTTATAAATAATCAAAAGACCAAACACTTTCTCTAAGTCTAAAAATAAAATGCTAACGTACGACTTGTTCAGGCAATAATGTGCATCTCATATGCGGGTGAGAGAGCCAAGTTTATGCAATTCATCCATGTGAGAGGATTGGCAACTTAAAGAAACCTTTTCCAAAGGAACTTTCATTTCTTCTCAGTATCTTTTGGTTAATTAACTTCAAGTTGAAAATTTCACTCTTAATTTTTTTTGGTAAAAAGGACAAAATGATATTAAGATAAATAATCACAATGTCCCAAACAATAAAGACCTACAACTTTCATAAGAAAACTTTTAAAACAAAGGAAGAGAAACTACTCTAGAATTACAACTCCTAACACAAGATGAAAAGATAAAAAATATCCATCCAAACTGGATCAGAAGGACGAGGCTTGGGTGGAATCCTGGTAAAACATTTTTGCTTGTAGCTCACAGCCTCACAGTTAATGAGTGCAGTTCATGATCCACAAATACTCCAAAACTTTTAATTCAAAGAAGAGAGGCTCTTAAGCATAGCTAAAGAAAGATCTAACCCTTGTAATTTCTGCATCTCCTTAAAAATTCTTGTAATGATGATCCATTAAAGCATATATATGAATCCATGATTGTGAGTGATCTTCTATTTCTTGAATTTATAAAGAATGACATCCCATCTTTCTTTACTTAAGAGAGTTATAGTTTAAAACAGGTTGCACAGTGACTAATGATTATTGAGATCAGATTGAGGAGAAAAGACTAATTGAGAGAGAGTGTGTGCGCCTTGTATCTCTTTGATAGTTGCAATCAAAGATACCTTCTTTCCCTAGTGTAGGATCATATTTCGCTTTTGCCAAATGGCATTTAAAATGCAAATGATTTTGCAGGCATCATTAACATATCCATGCTTCACCAGAGTAGGAAGAGTATTCTTTAACCAAACAGTAAAGTGTTGAAAGCTATCATGATGCAATTTTATGTTACGCATCCAAATGGTAGAGCTCGAGAGGAAGGGCACGGAATGAAAAGATGCTCTAAAATCTCCTCCACTTGACAACCAAAAGCCCAGAGGGAAGAGATATTAAGGTGATGAGCTCTTGAAACATCACAAGAACGGATACCATGTCCAAAGCATTTCCATGTAAAAAGCGACATCTTTTAAGGCAAAGGAAATTTCCAAATGAATTTTCAGAAATCATCAATAACCACATTATCAGTATTAACCAAAATGGAAGCTCCATTTTTCACCTTGTAGATGCCCATAAAATTTCCTTACCATGCCGGTTTATCCGATGAATGTGAAAGAGAGGGAAGAAGACAGAATATAATGGCTGAAGCTGAGGAATTAGGACATAATTAATCAATCAAGCTGGATGAGTTCCAGTCAACTTTACTCTTAGATGATTTGCCATGCGCTAAAAAGTTTGCTACATATCATAAAGTTGATGTGTCTCTCTCAGTCTTTACTTAACATCAGTAAGATTTGCTTCTACCCTACTTATTTGTTTCTTTCCGCATTTAAAGATCTAATTTGTTTGATTGTTTGATAATCATCCAATTCATCCTCACTAACGAGTTAACCTTTAAAAAATGTTTTTTTTTTTAAGAAATAAATAAATTGCCAATTTTTTAGGATGCCAATTGTTTTAACTCGCGCCACCTGCGAGTTATGATGTGCCAACCCACAAACTGCGGGCAACTTGTCGATTATTTCCTCTTGTCCTCTTTGTAAACCTTCCTGGCATAGTGGATCTCGGGTCGTCGTCTCATGCATTGAAAATGCAGCACGCGGGCATTGGCCACAAAATACTAATATTTCTGATTTTAAATATAAAACTCATTTTGTAATATAAATTATACTATAAAATGATTCTTATATTTAGAATCAGAAGAGTATATTATATTTAAAGACCAAATTAAATACTATATTCAATGACAAATATAAAAAAGTTCCTGCGCATGTGAGCAATCAGAGCTTCACATGTATGAAATATTTAAAAAGTACTTGAATTTGTTCTCATCAATCTCTATGGTAACTACTGTTTAACACATTCCTATGTAGCTACTGCTCTAGTCCTATTTATAACGCACTTCTAACATGTTTCATACAGACAAAAAAAAATCTTAAACTTCATTAACTCTCATTTAAAATTTAATAACCTTCTAACTTTATCCCTATTTAATATATATTATACCTCATATAAACAAAGTCAACACAATAATAAATGAAGGGTAAAATTATATATTTATACAAAAGACAAAAAAATATCTTTTCTCTCTGTCCTATAAATAGGACTAGAGGAGTATCTTTTAATAATTATACAAAAATTAACAAACTAACTAATTTGATATCGATCCTATTTATTATGTTTTTCACATCTCGCTCGATCCTATGAGATTCTCTACTTATGCTTCACTAATACAAGATTCCTTAAAAAATTTAATAAAATATTTACCGTTTATCTTTTTAAATACTCTTGTCTCAGTTACCCTTAGTTTAAAATGTTATCTTTGCTCTTAGGCGGTTTGGAAGTTAGTTATCTTTTTAACTTTAATTTTGATGTCGATCAAATTTATTTACGTTTTTATAATTTTTTTTATCAAAAGGAAATTTTATTAAAAGATAAAAAGATAGAGATAAAATTTAATAAAATATTTTTAAATTCATTTTCAAAAATAGTCTAACTTCTTATACTCTTAATTTAAATAATAGCTTTAATATGATTAACGGAAAATTTGAAAGTTGTGAAAATTTTTAACATTTAACTGATATTAATTAAATTTTATAATTTAAAAAAAAAGTAGTTTACATAGTCTTATAAACTATAATTTATGACTTGCTATCAAATTAGATGATATATCTTATTTTATAATATTATTGTTGAATTTTTTGTAGTAATAAAATCCTTAGCTATATGTATAAAAAATACTTTATTTACAGAGGTAAAAGCACACTATTGCGATTTATCTATAACTCTAAATAAAAATTAAAATTAAAATACACTAGTCACTCTTTTCCTTCGCCAAAATTACAAAAATCTTTCCGCTATTTAAAAATGTATATATGAACTTTCTTGAATTAAAATGTACTGCTACATACCAACAACTTTTTGATTAAAATAGTGAGTAGTCTCGTCTTTATAAGGAGACAAACATAAATTTAAATATCAGAAAGCGTACTTGTTAGAAGGGTTTTAACCTTAACGCTCTCAACCCAACAGAGATTAGATTCAATCCCAAAATAACTTGAGAATTCTCTTAATTTTACAAAAAAAAAAAGTGTCACGTAAATTTCTCTTATATAATTGAAAATTCATTTCCATCCACTATAAATTTGACTCTTAAACTTTTATAACACTGTTTTTTAACCTAAGAATTATTTAAATATCTTCAAAAAATAATTTTTGTCAGCATAAAAATAATTCTAATTAATTTATTTTCAACCTTACTAGTATGTTATAAAATTTATCAATTTTTATCATACTATAAAATTGTATAATTTTAATTTTTCATCACAAATTTTATTTTTTAAATTTCTTTTAAATGGCTAAAAATATTTTTTTAATGAAAACTGATATTACCTAAACAACAAGAGTAACGAAGAGAGTCAACCAGTAACTTCCCTCATATATAGTATAAATGATATATTTCAAACATGTATTTTTTTAACGATATAGTATAAATAATGTAAATTTAAAAAATTATATAAATAATTTAAAAATTTTAAACATAATTTTACTGCAAACATTTATAACAACATTTAGTCAAGCATATATTTTTTAATAGAACTAGAAATTTATCCTTTGTGCGGTGCACCCATTAGTATATTTGATTAAATTGAAAATTCTAATAGATATTATTCAAATCTCAATTAATATATCATTCAAACTTAAAATTAATTATTAATTTTTTTATTTAAGCATCCAATTCAAATCCTAAATGAGATATTATTTAAATCCAAAATTAATTAATAAATTTTTCGTTTGGACTTTCAATTGAAAGCCTATTTAATTATAATACTTCCTATTTAATTCAATATTTTCAAATCCTAATCAAGATATTATCTAAATTTTATTAATTGAATACATTCAGATCCTATAATATTATACACGACTCAATTTTAAATAAATCAGGTATTACAAGATTTTAATAATATTAGTTAGAGTTGGTTGATAGTTGATAGTTGATGGTTTTTATATTTATATTAATTAAATCACTTAAGAAAAAGTAAATAAATAATTAAGATGAAATGCGAGAAATGTTAAAATATTCTACTCGGCGATCATCATGCATGTGAAGTTATCTGTCTGCTTTTATTTTCTGTCGCCTTAACTCTCTAACCAGAAGCTCATTGGATTCTATATATCTGCTTGCACTACTTGAGTTTCGTATCATCACTTTCCACATTTTCCTTCAACAATGGCGAGAGGTGTTACAGATCTTCAATCCAAGAAACCACACATCGTCGTTCTCGCCAGTCCTGGCATGGGTCACGTGACGCCTCTCTTCGAGTTCGCTAAGCGTCTCGTCCTCCTCCATGGCTGTCACGTGACCTTCCTCAACATCACCACAGAAGCTTCCGTCGCCCAAACCCAGCTCCTCCACTCCCCCAACCTTCCTCCCGGCCTCTCCGTCGTCGACTTCCCTCCCGTCGATCTCTCCGACATGGTTGATGACGACGCTTCACCTCTTACCCGTCTCTCTATAAACGTACAACAAAATTTGCTTTCCTTAAAATCCATACTCTTAGAGTTCCACAAGCCTCAAGCCGTCGTCATCGACTTGTTCTGCACCCAAGCGTTTGAAATCTGCAAGGAGCTTTCCATCCCTGTCTTCATGTTCTTCACTGCTTCCACTTACTTGCTTGCCTTTACCTTGTTGCTCCCACAGCTTGATCGTGACGTGGCCGGCGAGTTTGTTGACCTTCCGGCGCCCGTTCAGGTTCCGGGGTGCTCTCCGGTTCGAACTCAAGACCTTATTGATCTTGTCGGGAACCGAAAGAGCGACAACTATAAATGGTTTCTGCATCATCTCAGCAGAGTTCCGATGGCGGATGGAGTGTTCTTGAACACGTGGGAAGATCTCGAACCTGTACCAGTTCGAGCCATCAGAGAGCATGCTTTCTACAAGAAGATACTCACAGCACCAGTTTACCCTATCGGACCGGTGATAAAGGAATCCGAGCCGGTAACAGAAACCGGTGCTGAGTGTTTAACGTGGCTTGATGAACAGCCAGAGCACTCGGTTCTCTTTATTGCTCTTGGCAGTGGGGGAACTTTGTCTGCGGAGCAGCTCACGGAGTTAGCATGGGGTCTCGAGCTGAGCGGGCAACGGTTCATATGGGTGGTTCGAGCCCCGAACGATGCCAGTGCAACTGCTACGTTTTTCAACGTCGGTGGAGATAAGAACGATCCTAGAACGTATCTAGCAGAAAGGTTCATAGAGAGGACGAGAGGGAGGGGACTGGTAGTGCCGTCATGGGCACCACAGCTGTCGGTGCTCCGACACAGGTCGACGGCGGCGTTTTTATCTCACTGTGGGTGGAACTCGGTGCTGGAGAGTTTGTCTCACGGTGTGCCGATCATAGCATGGCCGCTTTATGCAGAGCAAAGGATGAACGCAACGACAATGGCAGAGGAAGTGGGGGTGGCGGTGAAAATCGTGGCGGAGGAGACGGCGGGGAAGAGGGTGGTTGGGAGGGAGGAGGTAGAGAGGGCTGTGAGGATGACGGTGGAAGGTGAAAAGGGGAAGGAGATGAGACGCAAAGCGAGAGAGCTCAAACAAAGTGCTGCCAAAGCATTGAGGAATGATGGGTCCTCCAATGGCTATGAGTCACTCGCCCGAGTTGTCAGCCAATGGAAAGTCAACGGTAAAATTTGACTTCGAATTTGGACCCCTTAAACCCTGTTTGGCAATGAAGTGGCGATCGCTGATTGGCCAATATATGACTGTATAAGCTCCTCCGTTAAGTGAAAATTGTGGTGTATGTTTCGGTTTCATTTAATCAAAATTTTGTTTATTAAATATTTATTTTGTCAAAAAGTCAATTCGATAAAATTAAACTTAGTTATTGTAACCAATTTTATGTCTAAATATGCTTTTTTTAAAAAAACTTTTATCATTAGAAAGTAACGGAAAGTTTTTTGAAAAATAACCCAAAAACAGACTTTTAGAATAAACTTTCCGAAGTGAAAAAATTACTCAAACATCTTATGCTCCCCAAAAACTCTGTTAGGAAAGCGATGGTTATAACCAAACATTTTTTGGTTCCCCAGAAAATCAATTCTTTCGAGAAAGTAAAAGTTGTTATGAAATAAGACTTGTTTAGATGATTTTTGCAAGCCCAACAACACTCTAAGGGTGTGTTTGATACGAGGGATTTGGGAGGGGAGGGAGGGAAGGGGAGGGATTTTAATCATTTCCCCTTGTATGGCAACACACAAATTTTAGGAGGGGAGGGAAAATTTTATCCTCAACCTCCCCTCCAAAATTGGGAGGATTTGGAGGGAAAGGACAATATTTTGTCATATTATGACCATTATGTCCATATTTTGTCATGTTGTGACCATTATGTCTATATTTTGTCATGTTATAACCATTATGTTCACGCCTTAAATAAAATAAAAGCAAAATTGTCCATATTAAAATATTTTTCCCTCCTCTCCCCTCTTTTTTTATAAATCCAAACAAGATATTATTAAAATCCTTCCACTCCCCTCCCCTCCCCTTCCCTCCATTAAAATCCCTCCCCTCCCCTTCCTCTTATTGAGCCAAACATACCCTAAAAGTCATGTTTAATAAAGTTCCAAAGCTCAGGAAAACATCAGTGCAGGACAATAGACCCGGAACAACATGCTGAATCCGTGCACCTAAGTCTCAAATCGTGATGTTTGGGGCCTTTACTTTTGATATACTTCCTCCAATTCTAATTATAAGATCTCGTTTGTAGTTTATAAATAAAATCTTATAATTACGACCGGAGGTAGTACTACCTATGAGTTTTCATGTGACAATGAGCTTCTAACCTGTTAGCATGAAGACTCCCCTAAAATTGGAAGGTTGTGGGTCAGTTGTCTTTTCTTTTAATTGAAAAAAACGTTAAAGTAGAAATTTGTTCTGAAAATTTAAAATCTTAACAATGTTACTTTTTACCACTAAAAAGTTAACATGGACTGTTAAAATAGTGATGTCAACTTTTAATATTTTTAACAATAGAGGACAATATTGTTACGTTTTAAACTTTCAGAACAAATTTGTAAAAAAAAAAAACAAAAGAAATTTTCATTGATTAGTACTCCTGAATAAAAAATTTTAGGGTAAATTTTCATCTTAGCCCTTAAAAATATATGAGCTCTCGTGTGGAATATATGGTCTTTGCGAAATGCCAATGCAGCAGTATTATTATCCAGGCATTGAGAAGTAGTGCTAGCAACATTTATTAACAGAAACACTGAAAGCTCACCTTCTTCATTCTCGCAATGTGATTCAGACTTCCTGGCAAAAGGCAACTTTACCGAAGCTGAAAGCATCCACAGGCCGAGTCACACAGAATTGAATCTCCAGATCTTGTGTTTACTGTGGATTTATGGTAAGCCAAGATGGAAATTAAAAAAGAGAATAAAATAAAATAAAGGTGTACTTTTCAAAGGTAAAATGTCATATATTATTACAACTATTACTCCATTTAGTAATTAAGAAAAGTATTAAATTTGTTATAAAATTATTTAGTTTCTAATATTATTCTTATTGACTATACCAAACTTTAATCTTATATTAATTTTCACCATCTCTTGTTACCTTTGTTAACTAAACGCATGCACATGTATGGAAGGAAAATAATTGTGCTCTTTTTGGCCAGCAAAGTAATTATGCTCTAAACATTTGTGAGAGGAGGTCTATAATGCACCCAATATTTAGGACCAGATGGGTAATTAAGAAAAACAGTTCTTATAAGCAATGATTATAGGAATATAATAAATATTTTAGATCTCAATTGATTGAAAATGGAGTCATTTTCTTTCCATGTAATCAAACAGGGAATAATTAACTTCTCATCATGTGCATGACCTTTGCTATTGAACTTGAACTTTTTTTTATTTTTTAATATTTTAAATATAATTCTAATGATAAAATGAACTTTTGTTTTATATATGTTTTAAGTATAACCTTTATTTTATTCTTTTGGGGAGCTCTGTTCTATATTTAATTTTTCATTATATCTTTATATTTGCGAAATAATTATGTAAAATAATTTCCGTGCTTGTATTTGCAACTTTTAGTGTTAATTGAATCATGTAACTTTATAAAAATATAGAAACAATTTAAATTTGATTTATAAATGTTTGTAATTAAATTTAAATTAAAAAAAAAACAGAACAAAAAATGGGCTGGCCCACTAACCCCTTGGGCAAGCTGGGTTAAAATTCCGGCCCATCGTACATATGGTCGATCTGTTTTAGGCGGGCTGACCTCTTTGGCAAATAAGAGTGTTTTTGGTAAATAAATTGCATTTTTCTTTACGTCTCTTTGCTTTATGAAAGACGCAAATATGCCATATTATGCTTCAAAAAAACCAGATCTATAAAGAAAAAAAGTACACAGATACGTAGTGTCATTTTATGTATATATAGTGGGGCATTATGGGACAAAAAATAAATCCGCTCGGTTTCAAAAAGTTCCTTTCCATTAATAAAAGATCCAATGGTACAGAAAAGACAAGAAACCAACAAAACCATTCTGCAAAATAGACACTATTCCGGTTCTTTATATAAAACCCAATTCTTTTAGTCATAAATATAAAACTCATTTCTTATATTTATTAATTTTCTTTAAATTACTCTTATGGATACTCTCTTAACCATAATCAAGTAGAAGAGGAAGATGGGGTATTAAGAAAGATGATTATGATGTTTTATGAAAAGTATGTCACTTTTTTTATAATTAACTAACTTATCTAACTTTTTTGATCTAATCAAATTAGTTAAATGGATCTTATATTAAAGACCGGAAGAGTACAAGAAAACAAAGCAACAAAACAGTGAAACAAAAGATCTACCAAAATTTAATGCTCCACACTGCTCGAATAGAATTCTTTATAATAGAATGATATTTATACATAAAAAAAAAACAAAAAATCAACCAAAATTTAAGCTAAGAACGCAAGTCTTTCTTAGCAATCAGCTTTGTAAAGGTGAAGGACGTCCCTTTGCTCAATCAGTTTAGACAAGACCTATCCAATGAAGTTTTAGTCCCAATTCGCGACTAACTTTGCTTCCCGAGGAATCCAAACACAAATGGCTTCTCAAAAGATATGATATTTGTCTCATAGGTATCTCAGTTACTACACATTTTTCTAAGAGAGTAATCATGATTTTGCACAATGACTTCATAAAACTTAAGGTCTTTTTTTCCTCTTGTAAATGAAGTATTATTCTCTTGTGGGTGCTCTTAAGCCGAACATCGGATGGGTGAGTGTGTGTGTTAGTGTGTATAAGTAGGTAAGGTGACTGTTTGGGTATCACCCGCGTTAGATGGTTTTCCCTTCAGTCCTTTGTCCGAAGAAAAAAAATGAAGTATTATTCTCATCCTAAATATAAGTCACTAGTAAAGAAAAGTTTCGGTGCTAAACATGAGAAACTTGTTGTATATTTAATGCTTTTTTTTTTAATTTTACACTTATTTAATTTTTATTGGAAAAAGAGAAAAAAGGGTAAGATATATATATATATATATATATATTTATATGAGAAAGATTTGTAAATATAGAAGAAGGGAGAAGACTTCAATAAATGTAAAATTGAAAAAATTTGTAAATTTAATGCATTCCTTGATATGTGAGAATGTGTTACAAGTAACTTATACTAAGAATGGGAGTGATATTATTCTGATCATCCTCAAACATATCAAGCTTTTTCTGGTTAACAGGAACTCAGTCATTCACACACACACACACACACACACACATATCATATCGCCACCAGCGTTTAAAAAATAAAGCACATGTATTGGCACTGTTATAAAAAAATCAAAAGGCCAAACACTTATTTTGGTCTGAAAAGAAAACGCCAATGATTTGTTCACAGCGAAAATGTCTATGTCATATGTGCGTGAGAAAGCAAAGTTTCAACTACTCATCTCTATAATTAATTGAGAGGATTATTAATTGCAACGAACCTTTTCCAAAACGTACTTCGATTTGTTCTCGATCTTTAAGGTTGACTTTTATTTTAACAACTTCACTCTCAATTATATCAACATTAACAGAAGAATTCTCGTATAGTCTCAGAATACCACCTCACATAAACTCTAATCAGGGTTAAAGTAACACCTCAAAAAAAAAATTTTATTGTTATTTTTCTTATGAAAAATGTATTTCAATGGATCAATTAATATGTGTAAATAATATCGTGTAGTTCAATTTGAGAGAATTACATACAGGTTCTGAACAAAAAATTATTTATTTATTTATTATGTAAATATAGAAGCTTTACTTATAAATAAAAGTGGGAAGATAATTAATTTTTTCATTCGAAATCTATTTATAATTCTCTCTTATATTTTCATGTGAAATACACTATTAATATTCTATTTATAAAGGAAAAAAATTAGGTCAACTTTGCTGATATTGATTATGTCAAGTTTATAAATTACTCCTCTGGTCCTTAATATTAGACCCATTTAGCTAGTTTGATTAGATTAAGAAAGTTAAGTAAATTAGTTTATTATAAGAAATATAACAAGTTTTTCTTAAAATATCATAATCATTTTTCTTAGTACCATCTCTCCTTCTTCTACTTGATTATGGTTGAGAGAGTATCCATAAGGATAATTTAGAAAAAATTAATAAATATGATAAATGGGTCTTATATTTAGGATCAAAACCAATTCAAC